GCCAAAAGACCGATGGATAAATGAATAGATGAATACAGGAACAAATGGATACATGGATAGATAGATGGATGCAAGGAAGGGCAGGTAAACAGAGTAGATAGATGAATAGATAGATAGATAGATAGATAGATAGATAGATAGATAGATAGATAGATAGATAGTTAGATAGACACAAAGATAGACAGAATCTTGGCAAGATTATTTGATTAGCTAAATTCACAGCTAACCCAATATCCCAAGCAATTAAAATTATGTGAGTCAATTTTGTATGGGTTCGAGTTGAGTTACGGTCACTCGCAACCAAAAGCTTTCTAACATATTGGAAATCAAAAAGAATTTCTTTAACAGGAGTACATTACTTAAGTTTGAGAAATGAGACTGTATGATCTCTACTAACTCTAAAGTTCAGTGATCCTGTGTGTGTGTGTTTTAATTATTTCATCAGCTCAAAAGGTCAGGATCTTTTCTCTTTTTATATTTTCAGTACAGGCATTCAACAAAAAGCAGAGAAGAAGATTCTTTTTATAATTATCACTATGAATATAATATCAAATGGTGGTCCTTTCTTCCCTAGTTTAGGTAAAATAAATTATTCAGAGAAGATAATTTGCAAAAAGTTAATCTTACTTTACAATTCAGAATCAAAGGAAAACTCTCCCCTTTCCAAAGATTAAAAAAGCTAACAATGGCACATAAGAAATTTAAAAGCATTCGCATTGCAAACTAAAAACCAGGGAAAAAATATATCTCTAAAAGCTTTAAAACATTTTTAGAATATTCATGAAAATGATTCTTATAAACTTAGCATTCAGTTTGCTTTACCTACCTTAATCATTTGGTTGGCAATAAATATAAAATTCCTACCATTCAGAAAATACGAATAAAGCACTTACATTGTAAAAATAATAATTTAAAATAAAATATCAAGTCAGTAAATAAGATTACATAGCTAAATATCAAATGAATGACTCATATGGAAAGACTTTCTTCAATTTTTATTCCTAGGTATGTGGCTCACAGGCACTTTTCCCTGAGAACCCGATATAACAGATATTTCCAAGCCACATTCACCAGCTGTAATAGTGGCCAATTGAATCTACATCTATGCAGCTAAACTAATTTCATAGGAAGTCCTGCAAAGTCAGTAGCTAGTCTGCATCCTAAATTCGGAAATTAGTCATTTTTCAACTCTTCACTATCCATCAACTCACTGATTTATTTAATTGTCTTACAGTCCTTACTAAAGGTTTTTTTTTGTTGTTTTTTTTTTTTTTTTTTTTTCCTAGGAAGAGGTTTTTATTCCACAATTGGCTGTGGGAACAAAGAACAAATATATACTGACACGGCAATTATAAGTTTAACTTCTAAATTAATCTGTATTTTCAAATCTAGAGGAGGGAATGCCTCAAAGTAGGACACAGTCTCTGTAATCAGATAAGAGCAAAGGTACAGATGTTACCTATACATCCTGAACGGAATTCCAAATATTTCAAAAGAATTGATACTTAAGACCAGAGTCAAATCTTTTATTTAAGCAGAATAATTTATAAAATAAGTTTTGTTGCATAGCATAATCAAACTAGTAAAAATTTCCTAATCTTGAAGTGTTGAGGATATAAATTTGTGAAAATACTGACAATTTCTACAGATCATAGATGTCAGCCTGAAAAAAAAGGCACTGAATGATACAACAAGCCTATTTAAGTTTGTGTTATACAAAGCAAATCGATTTATTTAAAGATATCCATCTATACTAATTGCCACTGCATTAATTCTGCCATATTTTTAGGTATCATGTAGTTTAGGCCCTAAAATGGGTCTGAATTTGAAACTCTGAAAACACTAGAGACAGAAGAGCAATGAGAAACACTATTTCGGGGGTTCCTATGGATTTCTCCAGGCAGGAAGAATGCAATCCACAAGAATGCTTCAAGGGCAGTAACAGGCAGCTTAGAGCTGGTTATATGGACCCTGGTTATGAACAGCATAAGGAAAGAAAGGCCATTATTGCACCAGAATTACCATTATAAAAATACTATAAACAATTTCAAAGTTAGACTGGGTCAATGCCCAGAGGGTTTTATTATCATCAACACTAACAACTACCTTACAAAATATGCTTAATAATTCATTTGTCTGAAAATTGCAGAAGGGTTTATATTCCTATATAATTATAGAAACAATAATTTTTAAAAATGCGTAGCAATATTTATATACATAATCTGATTGTACTGTAAATACCTTGAAAATAAAAATCCTACAGCTTTTAGAAATGAGAGAAGAATCACAAGAAAAAAAATGAAAGACAGAATTCTAAACACGGGACCAGGAATCTTAATTAATTCAGCACAGCTTTGCAGTGTCAAATAAAGTCTATCATAGAAAACTACATGGGAGTGTAAAACTTCTGTTTCTGGACTTTGATCCAAGCTGTCATAAAAACTTGCCCTCATTTAATATCGCTTATTTCCAGTATATGCCAAATATTCTCAAGCTTTTGCTTTTGAGAATATTTTTTAATAAACAAAGCAATAAAGTCAATTATGTCATCCTTACAATTCTAAACAACCTAAAATATCACCCACAATCACAGAGCTGATTAGTAATTAATGAAAGATAACTTTATTCTGATATGCTGCCAAGAATAACAACAGCTGTTAAGCAGCATTAGCACCAAGAAAGCTTCAGTTGTAAAGGCATACGCATTAAAGCCCTCAATTAACACAGTAGCTGAGGCCTTTAGGACTACAAATTGTCTAGAATAGTGACCTGGGAGTTTTCCAGATGTGATTTATTAGTCTCAAATTAATTTTTATGCCAACAGACTATGTTATGAATTGTTCAACTGACACTTTGAAATTGACATAAACAGGTTTTGGTAACTAAAAAGCTCCAAGCTATAGCTTTTTTTGGTGTAGGGGAGTCTCTCTCTGTCACCCAGGCTGGAGCGCAGTGGCACAATTTTGGCTGACTGCAACCTTCACCTCCTGGGTTCAAACAATTCTCCTGCCTCAGCCTTCCAAGTAGCTTGGATTGCAGGCACGTGCCACCAAGCCCGACTAACTTTGTATTTTTAGTAGAGACGGGGTTTCACCATGTTGGTCAGGCTGGTCTCGAACTCCTGACTTCGTGATCCATACGCCTCAGCCTCCCAAAGTGCTGGGATACAGGCCTGAGCCACTGCTTCTGGCCCAAGCTATAGTTTTAATGAGGTGATTAGCTCTGGGTTTGGAGACGAATGCAATGTAATGTAATATAACATAATATAATATAATAGCATAAACGCTTTGAAGGTCAACCCAAATTCACAGGTGTCTGAAACTTTGTGAATACGAGAACCTTGATGTTCAATAACTACAAATGAACGTCAATCATTCAGTCTGAGAAAAGGATAGAAAAGCATGCATGAATGTCGAATGACAATTAAATAATGCACAAATCGTTTTTATCAGCAAGCCTGATTACTGGTACAGATGGACAATCTGAGTGAATATAAATGTATTTTATATCTTAAAATGTGCCACGTTCATCTACAAAACTATTTTGTTTCATGGGTTTCCTGAATTACATACAGTATTCATTTTATACTTACAAAGTGTAAAAATAGGGGCAAAGCAAAGTAATGTGAGCTTCTAGTTAAAAAGGAAAATTCTTAGCTGTAAAGTTAAAACATAGGCAATAAGTTTTTACCACAATAATGTGAACCACACTGGGCTTAGTGGCTTGGCATTTTTATAATCAACAAATGTCCAACCTTTTATGCACATTTTAAGTCTCCTGCTAATGGTACCAAATGTAAAATCAAACTGGTAATATAGTTTCATGAAAGACCTCTGGCTACATACAAATTCTTAGGTTATATTCTTTACACTGACAACTCTCAGCACTTCATTATAACTCTTAAAATTGAGGGCCTACACTATTAAATATTTTGCACTTTTCCAACTTACACTCAACATAAACTCTTAAGAATATGTATACACACACATACATATCACAGAAAGTGTTCAGCCTATTGCCAACATCAACCATAATTTAAAAACCCTAACTTTTAAAGTTTTTTTTTTAAAGTCTCAGTTGATCAAATTTTACAGTGAGCATGGTAATTTTGAGAAATAGGATTTTGATCCTGTGCTGCTTGGGAGAAAAAGTAATAGGAAACGAAATGTAACCTAGCTCTTCCAATTTATTTTCCAGTAAAACGTTGCTACACTTTCAAAGCGTTGGTAGGCTCTGAAAGTGTAGTGTTCTTATCTATGACTAGTCAAAAACGACCAACAGCTAGTTTACGTCTTTAAAAGAAAAACAGGGAACAAAGAAAGGACATTTATGCTGATTTATTAGACAATAACTTTTTTCTTTAAACTGCTAATCTGCCTAAAGAACACATCCAGTACACACTTTTAAAAATCTGCCTGGTTTTCCAGTCCCCTCCCCATTCTATGAGCTTTAATTCATGGAGAGTAGAAGTCCGGGAGTGCGCAGAGTGAAAAGAAAGTGGGGACAGATGTTCTCAGTTGGGCAGGTGACCCCTGAAAACTGTTGGTCCACAGCAACTGATCATTCTAGACCTCCATGGCCTTAGTGTCTCACACTAAACTCGAAGAAACATGCCCTTGAAAAAGAAACCACTTTCAGGGATCAAGATCTAGGATTTTGAAGGAAGAAGGTGAAAGCGGGGGAAGATGATTTTAAAAGAAAAGCTGGGTCATTAAAGAGAAAAGATTAGTCCCGGAGCCTTCCCCTCTATCCTGAAAGTGATTAAATTGACACCAACTCTGGATGTTCCTTGGGGAGGGGGGGGGATTAAAAAGGGCCTAATTTAAGACCCTCGTTAATACATCTGCAAGAGAGCAACAACAACCACAAAAGTTACGCAGTCCATCTTCAATGATACATCGTCCCGCTGGTGCCACTGGGGCGCCCCCACTCAGCCCCCAGGACCCGCCGCGCCCCCGGAGAAAGTGGGAAGGGGGATAGGGGGATGCTGAAAGAAGTACCTCGTTTTGTCTCCAAAGGGCAACATAGCAAACGTAGGAAGTTCGTTTGCGAACTTCGCCGATCCTGGACTCCAGGAGGCTCCTCGGGGGCGACAACGAGCCCAGGTGAGCTGAGGTGAGGTCGGCGACTGGGAGCCAGCTCCCTCACCGCCCGGGCCTCCGCGCCGCCGCCCGTCGCCTCCCGCTTGCCCCGCGCTGCGCCGCCCCCTGGCGGGGAGCGCTCCGCAGAGCCACGGCCGCGCGCCGGCGGGTGGGAGTCCGGCGTCGAACCCGGGCCGACTCCTCCACCATCACCTCCGGGCGTGCGTCACCCTCCCGGCCAAGACGGCCAGCATCCACTGCCCGACCGCCGCTGCCCGGAGCAGGCGGTAGCGGGGCGGGGGCTCCTTCTGCAAAGGGGTGCGTCTTGGACTCCCGGCACCCCGACTTCGCACCAACTCCTCGGGCCTCGGGGCACCCGTCCGCCAAGCACTCTCCGCTCCACTCGTCTTGTCCCTCTGCTCCCAGTCTCAATGCCTCCCCAACTCTCCCACGAGCGTTTCCCACGCGTGCCCCGACTGCCAGCTGCGCAGCTGCCTCCAAAAGGACAGGCTCCCTCCTCCCCGCCCTCCGCAAGGGCCGCCCCGGCGCTTGGCTCTCGACCAGAAAGAGCCGGCCTCTGGGGTCTCCGCTGCCCCTTGGGGTCCGCTCCCGGCGGCGCCTTCCCCGCGCCCTTTGTGTGCGCGCCGCAAACCGCCCGGCGGAGCTCTACTTCTGATCGCTCAGCCTTCGGCGGAGAAGCGAGTGAAAGGAGACGCGCGGGATAATCGGGGACTGGAAGGGGGGAAAAGACGACCCACTCACTTTGGGAAGGTTCCGTCATGTTGCCTTTGGGCTTCCCGTGGTCTCGTCCCTAACCCCGGCTTCCCCGCCCAGCCAGGGCCAGGGCGAGGGGGGACGGGGGAGGAGCGGAGCCACCGAGACCGACTTGGAAATGGTGCTTCCGGAGCTGCAGGGAAGGGGCTCAGAAACTGTTTGGGTTTTGCTGATTGGATTTAGGGGAACCAGGGAGCTAGAAAGGGGCCAGGGGAAGGCCCGTGAGTACGGAGATTTGAAAATAATCATGTTCCCGGGGAATACCAAGGCGGGGGCGGGGGTGAGGGTGGAAGGCCGGCAAGTACAGTTTTGTATTTGAACTTTGTGAGCAAGTTGTATCTTATCCGACGCTTGAGTTTTTCCACTGTGCTCGCTTAGAGTTGAGTTTCTACCTCGTAACAGGACCGAGGACCTGCTCCAAAAAGCAAAGGGCCTGGGAACGGGTGAAAGAAGGGCAAAATCCGATAGGGAAAGAAATCAGCCCCGGGTCACACTCCATGCCCCTGCCGGGTCTTCCGTGGGTCCTCCTCTTACCTGGTGGCTTTTCTAACAAAGTAAGAGAAGGTAAAGTCCCAGTGATCGTCCAGCCACGCTTCGACCGAGTCCTGATCCCTCTGCTGCTGCTTTTGGGGCTGCTGCTGCTGTCGCTGCCGCCCGAAGCTGGGGCCGGCCGGCTCCATGGTTGGCGCCGCGCGCCTCGGCGGCTCTCTGCTGCTGCTTTTCCACCCCAGCTGGGGTCCCTCCCTCGGAAGAACAGGACCCGGGCTCGAGACCCTCCCCCTTCGTCCTGCTCTAGTAGGGCCGGCTTTGGGTAAAGCGGCCGGAGCGCCAGGCCAGCCTCCTGCCCCGCCCCTCCTCGCGCGGTCCTCAGGGTGCCCAGGTGCGGCGGGCGGGGCCGGGCGCAGCTGCCGCGTCCCTCCCTAGGGTCCGGCAGTGTTCGGCTCTTGCAGGCTCTGGAGTCCCCTGGCTCCGAGGTGGTGGCGGCGGCGGCGCCCGGAGAGCTCTCCGGAAACCAAGTAGCTGCGGCTGGAAGGAGGCCACGCGGCCGCTGGGGTGCGCTGTGAGCCGAGCCGGCTTCTGGGGCGCGCGCTAGGTGACCGGGTGTGTTCTCAGACTGCCCGCGTAAGGAGGGAAGGTCGCGATGTGGGAAATTGTGCCCTAAAGTGAGACGTGGTGCGACCCTGGGCGCTTTTCCTGGGGCCTGAGAGTACAGTGACCGTCCTGCCTCGCTTTTCCCCAGCCCTATGCTTGGGTCAGGGAGGAGGAACCCGGGCCGACCTCCTTCGGAGCCCAGCCCTCGCAGGACTTCAAGCGCTCCAACCACTGACCACCGCGGGGTGGAGAGAGCTGGGGCGTGTGCCGGCAAGACAGATTTACAGGTGTAGGTGGGTAACTTACAACAAAGCCATGCCAGTGCTTAATGTTAATGGTAACAGCCATAATTATAAATTGAGTGCCTTTAACCATTGCCTCAAAGTTCCCTTTTACGTAATAGGAAAAACATTTTCTTGGAAAAGAAAAGGCAAACAAATAATTTCCAATGCTTTGTGCGTGAAGTTAGAAAACAAGGGCACCTCTGTACAATTAGGTTAATCCGAGAGCACTGGCACAACCCAGGTGCAGTCGAGAGCAACCAGTTAGCCCAATTTTCAATTAATGCATCATTTTAATTAAATTGGAATTAACACTCCCTTAAAAGTATCCCTTAAAAATGGTTCAGCCAATTCTGTCCAATCCCTATCTTGCTTCTTTAAAAAAGGAGTTGGTGTCATCTTTCGCTTTGTCTGCATCCCCATCTTCCTGTCACGCCTTTGCAGTTTTAATACGGCATTTTGGGTATATGACCTAAATTTTTGGGTAGAATTAAATCTGGAATTATGGGTTTCACAATTTGTGAATGACACCACTAGCAGTGATATACAAAAAAAAAAATGACTTAGCTGATATACTTTTAACAAACTCACTTCAAAATACTCTTGGCAAGAATGTAAGGCATTATTCACTACACAGTAACACATCATTAAATTGATAATCTGAGAACTTTTAAAAGTATCTTTTAGTCCCCAATTCAATGGTTTATCTTCCCTTCATTGAATGATTGACCTTTTGAAACGTCGGTTTTTCTGAAACTTTACTGCCGTACGCAGGTAATCACAACCAAAGAAAAGCAAGCAAAGCAGTAGAGTGCGAACCAACGTGTGATAAATTATATCGGATTTAAAAATCAGAATTCTCTCCTAATGTGTTACTATGATAGTGATTATACTGCTCATGGAATACAGTCATGCGTCACTGAACAGCAGGATACATTCTGAGAAATGCATCCTTAGGCAATTTCATCCTCCTTTGAACATCACAGTGTCCTAACACAAAATAGACCGCTCAGCCTACCACACACCTAGGCTATGTGGTAAACGTATTGCTCCTAGGCCACAAACCTATACAGCATATAACTGTACTGAATATTGTAGGCAGTTGTAATGCAATGATATTTGTGTGTCTAAACATATCTAAACCTAGAAAAGGTACAATAGGCCGGGCGCGGTGGCTCACGCCTGTAATCCCAGCACTTTGAGAGGCCGAAGCGGTTGGATCACGAGATCAAGAGATCGAGACCATCCTGGTCAACATGGTGAAACCCCGTCTCTACTAAAAATACAAAAAAATTAGCTGGACATGGTGGCGCGCGCCTATAGTCCCAGCTACTCCGGAGGCTGAGGCAGGAGAATTGCTTGAACCCGGGAGGCAGAGGTTGCAGTGAGCCGAGGTGGCGCCACTGCACTCCAGCCTGGCACCTGGTGACGGAGTGAGACTCTGTCTCAAAAACAAAAACAAAAAAAAAAAAAAAAAAAAGAAAAAAAAAGGTACAATAAAAATATTGTCTTATGGGAATCATATATGTGGTCTGTCCTCTGAAAAGTGGCACATTACTGTGGAGAGTTTCTCCTCAGTCCTGTTTTTCTTGTGGAAATCCATCCATTCCTCCTAACAGGAGGTCAATTGTAACTTAAAACTGCTTATCTACTAAAGATGCAGTGGATTTGGTCTTGAATTATTTGCTTTTGTTGAATACTTGATTAAATAAACATGTATAATCATTTCAGTGTTTTTGTTCCCTCCAGAATTCATGTTGAAACTTCATCCCCAATTCAACGATATTAAGAGGAGGTGCTTTTAAGTGGTGATTAGACAATTAGGGCTCTGCTTTTGCAAATGCATTAGTGCCTTTTTTTAAAAAAGACTCAAAGGAGCCAGTTGGCCCCTTCTATTCTTTCCACCACGTGAAGACACAGCACTGACCCCTGCAGAGGATGCAGCAACAAGGTGCCATTTTAGAAGCAAAGAGCAGCCCTCACCAGACACCAACTCTACTGGCACTTTAGTCTTGGAGTTTCCAGCCTCCTGAACTGAGAAATTAATTTCTATTGTTTATAAATTACCCAGTCTGTGGTATTTTATTATAGCAACGAAAATGAACTAAGACAATGGGTAATATCAAAATGTTCATTTTTCTCTTCTAACCTGAAAGGGTTAAATTATCAGAAACCAGAACAGTTTCTGAAAAATTGCTGCAAGAAAAACAATCCATAGGCTGGGAACAGTGGCTCATACCCGTAATCTCAGAACTTGGGGGAGGGGGAGGTAGGAGGATCACTTTTGCTCCAGAGTTTGAACCAGCCTGGGCCACATTGCATGACCCTGTCTCTACAAAATTTTTTTAGAAATTAGCCAGGCATGAGGAAACACACCTGTAATTCTGGTTACCTGAGAGGCTGAGGCAAGACGATTGAGCCCAGGAGGTCAAGGCTGCAGTGAGTCATTATCATGTCTTGCACTTCAGTTTCTGTGACAGTGTGAGATTCCTGGCTCAATAACAAAAAAGAAAAGAAAAGAAAAACCGACATAGATTCTCTCAACAATGAATCTCAATTCTGTGTGGTACAGATGGTAGGTTGGGGACTACTGTGAAGCCCCACCTTAGGAACATCACAAGGGATTGGGGAGCAGAAGTGTCTCAAATAGTTCTAGTCTCTGGGAAACTCAGACAAAATGTGTACTATACCTCCTGTAAATTTAAGTAGTTAAGGGTAAGCATATTTTGAACTGCCATTACCTGGGTCTCTTGTTTTTCAATTCCATTTTATTCTTTATCCCAATTGGCTCAATTATTTTGTTTTAACTTGGTATGGATTGTTCTAAACGCCTCGAATCTTGTTATGGAATAAGTTAAGAATAAGTAAATAATAAACCCTCCCAAGAAATAACTTGAAAAATGCTGTTAATGCTATTTATAACAAACAAATGAGCAATGATGTATGTATGTAAGATATATATGTGTATGTATATATATATATTTTATTTTTATAAATTACCCAGTCTGTGGTATTTTATTATTGCAACACAAATGGACTAAGACATACATATAGCATATATCAATGATATATATATGTATATTTTATTGCTCATGAGCAACAACTTAACCTGAAGACTTCCAATGTATTCCCATTGTACTAGAATAAAACTCAAACTCTCTAATGTGGCTTATAGGGTTCAACATTATTTGGCCGTTACCTACCTGTACTGCTGAAGGTTTTGGTCATACAAATAGAAAAAGCAAACATAACCAAAAAACAAATGCAACAAAGCAAAAACACAAAAAAGAAATATAAATCATAAAAATTGGAAAGGAAAAAGTTCTCCATTTGCAGACGT